GTCGGGTTCAGGAAACGCACAAAAAGAAGTGTGTAGGAAAACCGGACTTAAGTTTGGTGGACCGTACAAAATTAGTAAGACTCATCCAAATGACAGATATGAAATTTCAGCTCTAAAAGGCATGAAAGGTTATAAGAAATATTCAGTTACTGTCCCAGTAGAGCAGTTAAAAATGTATACTGGTGGAGTTTGGGAACACTCCGACTCAGATAGTACAGTTAATAGTACGGATGAACTTATAGATCTCTTAGAGGGCTAAAAACCTACAAAATATATAATCAAAGCTCTAATGCGAGCATAAAAACATAAAATCAAAGCTCAAATGCGAGCATAAAAAAAATATATAATCAAAGCTCTAATGCGAGCATAAAAACATAAAATCAAAGCTCAAATGCGAGCATAAAAAAAAATATATAATCAAAGCTCTAATGCGAGCATAAAAACATAAAATCGAAGCTCAAATGCGAGCATAAAAAAATATATAATCAAAGCTCTAATGCGAGCATAAAAACATAAAATCAAAGCTCTAAAACCTACAAAATCAGAGCTCTAATGGAAATATAAAACTATTACACATATAAAAAAAAAAATGTACCGTAATTACAAAAAAAAAAAAAAAAAAAAAAAAAAAAAAGCAACAAAAAAAAGTTATACACATTTTATTATGTAGCAAAATAAAACAATTTTCTTTCAGGGACAATAAAAGGAAGTCGAGGACGACCAAGAAGTAGGATGGCCGAGTGTTGTGACCAACGTGATTGTCAGCACACCTCCCTATATATTATATTTTTGCGTATACCTATTGTTATGTATTCTGCTTATCGAGTGTGATTCATTTAATTAGAAAATGTTATATTTCTGCTTTTTAGGTAAGATCGAATAAAAGAACCGATTTGTATTTTAGTCATACATACGCCGGCAGGCAAATACATTGTTTTGTTCAGAGTAAAATAAATCCGTTAATTAATTAATTCAGTCGTTTTGTTTTAAAACTTGCTGTAACATAATTAAATGTTGAGCCCCTATAAGGACAAACATGGGGTCCAATTGTTGGTAACTATAAGCATATACCATGTTATGTCCCATCAGGAGTAAACCCAGATGTAGCGAAAATGCTGGCGAATGGTTAACCGGGTAATTTTTTTGATGCTATTGTTGACGATAGAATAATTACTCTTATCTGCATAAAAACTAATCTGTATGCCACAATTCTTTTGGATCAAGATGCAACATCAGGCTCTCGTTTGCATGATTGTATTCCCACAACAAATAGTGAAATTAGAAAAATTTTGGGTCTAGTAGCCTAGTTAAAATGCCAGCTATTGCAAACTACTGGAGTAACGATGAATTCTTCAACAATGATTTTGCTAAAAGAGTTATGCCTAGAAATAGGTTTGAACTTTTGTTGAGGATGATCCATTTTGCCGACAATGAAGTAGCAGACAAAACAGAAACCAGAAAAATATATTTGCGTTGATTAGACACTATTACCATTCAGGGGAAGGCTAGGATTTCGCCAGTACATAAAAACTAAAAGACATAGATACGGAGTAAAGTTGTTCAACGTATGTTCTGGGCTCGGGTACACATATAACTTAAAAATATACGCAGGAAAAGAAGATACCAATGTCGCACCTACTCAATCAAGGACGAACACTCGTTACTTATAACTTATAACGTACACAAGTTTGCCTATAGCTCACAAAATGCTTAATATGAATACTCATTTGGAACTATTAGAAGAAAGCGAAAAGGTCTTCCTAAAGAAGTAGTTAATACAAAATTGAAAATGATGATAGCATAACAATTATGAATTGGAAAGATCAGCGTAATATGTTTATGCTCTCTACGAAACACGAAAGTCAAATGGTAGAGGTTTCGTGTAATCTTTGGACAAAAGTGAAACCGGCAGTTATCTTAGATTATGATAAAGGTAAAGAATCAGTTGATATATCTTGCTATGTTGAATTCGTATTGACGAAGACAACTAGCATTGGGTTCGTAATTATCAGGCTAGCTCAAATAAAATAAACACTTTACTATTTCAGCTCGGTATATTTCCTTTAGGTGTTTAGAGTTTATTCGTGTGTATAAGAAAAGATAGAGGAAAGGATACAATACAGCGATAGCAACAATGCCAAATAAGCAGTGGCGTACTAATACAAAGCAAACGTGCAGTTATGCAAATAAAACAAAAATTATTAAATAATACCAAGGCGTATCGATACCGATTGGTGTACACTGTTGGTAAGTTTAAAATATATATTGATTTAAGTATTTAGTAGATGATATATCTTGTATCGTATAACCTCTGTTACTTTTGCTTCTCGTTGAATCATGCAAAAAGATAGGAACAATCTTACTTGATTATTTTGTTGTCTAACCAATTCTTCATTTGTTTACAGCCACTGTAGAAAGGTTCTATTGGAGCTTGGGTACCACTGCAGGTAAAACAATTGACCATGCAACCATGCAATTAAGCCCTTAATTTATCCCTAAGCCAGACAGGTAGCAAGAGAGATACCAACTAATACCAGAGAAGTGATGCAAAGTAGAGTAGATTGAAGGATGAAGTATAGATAAGAAAAGAATAGAAGGCCTAAAAGCAAGGTAGAGGTAGATATTTTAGTAAAGCTTAGTTTATGACTTAATTAGATGTGTTAGTTACTTACCACGGTTCTAATGGGGCCTCAATGTGTATTTTAATTATGTATTGTAATTTCTTAATTAGCAACGAATCCACAAAGTGATTAGTGTTTTCCTGGAATACCTAACAATTTGCTAATTTATTTCCCTGGGAAACTTATTTAAAATCCGCAAAAACGAATATGCACCCACGTGCAGAATGCAAGTTTCTTTTACCAAGACGCGGGAAAAACGGGAAATCAAAAAAGAAGAAATTATATTTGACATAACTAATTGTCAACCCTTTACCTGAAATGCTTCTAACCAGATATTTTGGCTACTGGAACAGTCATATAGTCTAAGGCTATTAATATCAAAAAAGAAGAAATGACAGAAGATATCATCTTAGCATTGTTTACAATTTAATATATGCTAAATAATTATATTTAAATCTAATATTATAATAAAATATGATTTGTTATTTATTTCAGAAGCTGCTGCAGATGAAGATTTGCTGGACCCTAGTACACAATAAAATATAGTATATTGTATCCTTTTGAATATTAAAATTAATGATGAAATAGTGACTTTTTATTTGATAAGTTAAAATGAATTTACACACGTAACAACACCCCCCTTTCGTGGAAAGGCTTTGTTGTACAAAGACTTAGAATTTAAGTAATAGAATTATTGGCTGAGCAAGTATACAGTTTTAAACTTAAGGTTACTCTATGTGTCTACGAATTGATCTTCTTGATCTTTATCAGGTGGATGACTCTTTAGATCTTTCGCATGCCAAACGCCTTTACTTTTCCTATCTTGGTCTACTAATTCATAAGACCAAGGTGATAAAATTTTATGAATATAAAAAGGACCATCAAACTTTAATGAAAATTTTGAAGTTATACCTTGAGCCTTATCAGACAGAGTATAGTTTCGTTTCCATACTTTTTGGTTTATGACGAATTGTTCGTCACGCCTACGGAGATTATAGCGCTTACTACTCGCTTCATACGCCTTTTTAAGACGGCGGGAAACCTCAATAAAAACTTCTCGAAGTTTTTGAGCACGTATAAGAGGGTTAAATTCTGTATCTTCATCTAACGCGTCGGTAGGTGGTTGAGGTTCATTGGCAGACAGGGAAATATCTCTTCCGAACATTAAAAAATTTGGGGTTACACGAGTGACTGCATGACATGCAGTTCGAATTGCACAAGCAACGGCTTGTAAATACTTATCCCACTGTCTGTGATTACTGGAAATGTATCCAGATAACATGGTCTTAATTACCCGGTGAGAGCGCTCTACTGGATTAGCTTGAGCATGATAATTTGAAATGTGGGCTGATTCAATGCCATATTTTGTGAAGACAGCGGCTAATTCCTTACTCCGAAATTGACTCCCATTATCCATGATAACTCTGTTTGGAGCTCCAAATAGCAGGATAATATTATCTTCAAAGATTTGAGCGATTTTAGCAGAAGTTGCACTCCTAAGAGCAAAAAGAAGTATATATTTACTAAAAATATCAGAAACAGACAATATGAATGTGCAACCAGATGTGGAACGGGGAAGAGGGCCAACTAGGTCCATACTTAGGATTTTCCAAGGTCTGTAGGCATGTTGAAAAAGTATCGATATATCGATATTTTTAATCCGATATATCGATATTTTTAGCCGATATATTTTGATCCGATATATCGATATATCGATACAAAATATCCAATATCGAAAATTGTATCAAAAACGATATATTTTTTTAATTTATATAACTAAAGTCACTAGAGTCCAAAACCGTAAAAGATAGGAACGAACGCAAAGAAGAAAACTGACCAGGATAGCTATTCACTAAGTCATGGGAGCGCTCCCATATATTTTGCTCTCTTACTCTTAGGTGGGTATATCGTGCTTACTCACTTTTAGCCCAGGTACATGCGTAGTAAGGTCAGATTTTATACTATGGGAGGGAGAATTGCGGGCTTGCCAGATTAGGTCCGTATTTATCAGAAAGCAAATTTGAATTACTAAGGGCTGATTCCACCGTTGAGTTAAACGGAGATTAAAATGACATTGTTAATGTAAAAATGTCATTTTAAACTTCGTTTAACACAACGGTGGATCGGTCCTTAAATAGTAGATCAAAGTTATTCTGTCGACTTGGCAACGTTGGCATGGGAGTATGGGAGCATGGGAGTGTGGGAGTGCTCCCATGAGTTAGAGAATAGGTATCCAGTTGACCTATCCGATTGCCAAGAGCAAGAAAACTATACTCTCCCGTTTTGATAGCTGGGTAAATTGTCCTGTAGGATATAGCCCAAAAAAAGAAAGAAGAAGAATGAAATAACCTAACGTATGTTCGCGTGTGATCACGGTACCTAAATAACCTCAATCTGAATTGTTTACTTTTTTCTAATTCGGAATTTGTGTTTCACGACGTGAAACATGTCGTCCAGCAGTAGTGCTGTGTGGAACTTTTTTAAAAAGACCAATAAAATAAATGTTTCTTGCAATCTGTGTGGTAAAAACTATAAAACTAGTGGCAATACGTCAAATTTAGCAGCACATTTGCGAAACAAACATTACCATGCATTCTCAGAGTTTAAAAATGCTCGCGGCAAGTCAACCTTGGACTCAGAATCTAAAGCTAAAAAATACGCATTGGACCAACCACGAAAATTGTCATTCAGAACTAGTTCTCCTACCCCTTCAACTTCAACTAGTTTATCCTCCGAGCAATTACTACTAGAGGGAGTCTTCCCCCCTTCCCCGCGCTAAATTTTGTTAGCAACATCTACTCCCCCCGAGAAGGAAAATACCTCTTCTGTAATTGGCTTATTTAATCAGCGTTGCCAAGTTTGACAGCGCCAGAAGTGTTCTGTGAGCGCCAGTTCTGACACTTTCTGACACGATGTCAATTTCTTATTTGTATTTGACGAAAAATATTATTTACTCCGAGTTAGTAATTGCTCGGAGATTATTTATAACGTTGTAAAGGTTGTAAATGTATATTTAAGATTTATTATCTCTAATAATATGGTGAAAACATGCTTTATGTGTAAAAGGCCTGTCGAAAATGCTTCTTCAAGATAATATCATAAGTAAGTACAGACACAACCTAATTATCAGAGGCGGTGCATTAGGCAATCACCTTTAATTTGCAATTAAACTTTTTTATTTTCTTATCGAAAAATTAAAATTAAGAGCAAGTACACTCCAGCTACGTTCGTCTTCATCCGTCTCATAATGATTATAGTAAAGGTTAATTACTTATTATTATTTTAATATCGAATCTTTGTAAAGTTTATTGTTATTTTTTTCAGGTTTCCTTTTCTTGATATGAGAAAGAAATACATGGTTCCAAAATATAGGAATTCAACAAGTGACCACCTGAATAACTTTTTATGCTAATGCATTTTTATTACAGATCTCAGGGAAGGAAAATATTAAAGAAAAATGCAATTTCGACGAAAGAAGTATAATAATCAATCCTGTCACTACTTCTACACTATATTCATCTGCTACTAAAATACTAAAACAGCAAGTAAGTAGAGAAACTTAAGTTTCTTTCAAAAAGGAATGTTTAAGGAAAAAGGCATAGCTATTTTTTTGTTGACACTTTTTTTTAACTAATCTAAAAGACTAATTTTGTGTATTGTTTAAATGTTCATTTTTTGTACTTAAATTGTTTTAGGTTTAAACAAAATGAACTTCTAAGATATGCATGGAATATCACAAAAGAGCCAAGGAAGGTTTTAAAATTCTTAAGAAAAGTATTCAGAGCCAAAAACATAAAATAGTCTTCCTGTCCAAAATATAAATAGGTATAAATATTTAGATATGAGTGATTTTTTATTCTATAAATAGAACATAATTTGCTTCTAAATCACTACCTAATGAACTATATTATATAGTACAAAACTAAACAAGAATATCACATTATTCATGTTTTTTTTTTAATTTCCTTAAAAAACGTCCCAAAAAAATGTGAATATTTATTATTGGAGTTAACATCGTTATGCTAAAACAATACTAGAACAACTTAAATAATGTGGATTTTGACTATTTTGAGTTATGCATATCATTATGATCTAAAATAATGTTTGTCTGGTGCTATAGTCAGGTATAAAAACATTCATTTATTTAAACACAGTTGCAATATACATTTTATTTAGTTACAAGTTAAAACCTATTAGGACATCCTAAAATTACTTTTTTCGTTTGATGTGAGATTAATTATTCTACATTTTTGTTGGTGAAATAGGATATATTAAGATGTCTTACTGTTTTCTCTGATTATCTAAAAAGTTAGAATAATTAGAACAATTAGTCAGTTCAATTGTACGATAATTTAAAGCAGAAATCCAGAAAACTTAAAAATGTGTTTAAATGTGTTTTTACTATAACAAGGACATAATTATTAAAAAAACTTGGCACATTAACATTGAAGATGGGTTTTAATAATATATATTATACAAATCACAACGAACTACACAAAATGACACTATTAATAATTTAGTAATAAAAAAGTTAAGTACAATGATGACATTAAAAGTTGAGTTTCTCGAAATACTTTTTTTAAATTGTCTCAGTAACTACCTAGTATTTTTCTAGCACAATGATATATGAATGTGCATTGTGTGATATCTTATATTTTAGGAATAAAATTATATATTTTTTTGCAGGTTTCTGTTAACAACGATTCCAAGATCTTTTGAAAATATTATTAAAACGGCATTTGCAAATATATTTCTCAATTAAGAGCTTTTGATCTAACATTAAATTTTTATTCTCCATAAGGTTATAGCTTCCTAAGAAGAAAGTTTATCAAGACTTACCAGACTCAAAATATCAAAATTTTACCAACCAATTGATGGTTCTACTGGTTTCCATAGGAAAATTCTCCTCGAAACTACTTAAAGAAAAGTGGCAGAGGCAACAGAAGAAGGCAAAAAAGTCTTTTGCAAAACAAAAACTAGAAATTTGTTTAAGAATCTAATTATTGTTTGAAGTTTTACCATTAATAATTTTTGATAACGATTTAAGATTATAAAGTTCTATTATGAATTTTACTCTTTGATAACCTATGTTTAAATTTTTATTAGGACCAAAATAAATTACAATTTTCACTTCAACTACAAAAACCCTCATAATATTAAAAAGGAGAAAAACGTTAGATTAGTTATGTTCAGGAATAAACTCTTTAACCATTTATCTACTTAAAATGTGTTACTTTTAGAAGGTATGTTATTAACTTTCTATTTGTACTTGTATTAATTTATTTCATTTTATTATCTGTTGAATTTTCAAATTGATTTTCATATTAATCTTATCTATTTATATATTTTTTATACTCACATATATGTTTTTTTCATTAAAACAAACGTTTATTAGCTTATTAAATCTAATAAATTCATGTTGTTTTATTATATGCTTGTATGAATGATTACTTTTATTTCCTTTTAAAAATGAATTTCGAAGATAAAGCCGAAACGGTGAGTGAGAATAAAAATTAGACGAAAGTGACGATATTTACTGGAGCTTTCATCTACACCTGAGCCAGCAAGATTCGTCTTCCCTCCATCCTTACATTCTCCAGATTTACAGAGAAAATGCCGTCCTCTTTAACATATCCAGACCTTCTTTGATGGGGACTATACCACTACATTATCAGCTTTATTTGTTATCCCGAGCAATTTAATTGCATTCGTAATTGCTCATTCTCACCTCTTCTCTTGTAGATTCCGTACTCAGTTTTCTTATTTTTAGTTACGTTTGCACTGCTCTTTTATTTTCACAGCTTTAATTCTATAATGCTGTAACGCTACAATATGGATCCATTTATGTGGTTTATACTATTTAATGTTATTCGTAAGTGTCCAACCTATTATAATAATTAAAGATTATTGTATTACAGGCCTGAAGATGTTCCTGTAAGGCCGAAACTAGTCGCTCCTGTATTTATAATAAAATTGATTTTAAGGTTTTATTCTTCAATTGAAAAAATTAGACCTTTACAGTGATTTTGTTTCTTTTCCTGCATTAGACATATATAAGACGGTATTCATTTTAAAAATAGTAAAATTAGCAAATTTTTTAGTTTTTTTTTACAATTAAAACGTTTGTACAATGTGTGTTTTTATAGATAAATGATACGCCACTGAACAAGAAGGATGTTTACCTTCCCCCTTGTGCCCGCTTCCTCACTTCCTCTACAGATGTTGCTAACACAACAATCGCCTACAAACTCGTTTTCACGCTCCCTCTATTAGTAATTGCTCGGAGAGTTTATCTTCCATTACTGCTAATGACAACGAAATTGAAAATATAGCGGGTTTGTCTGCAACCAGTCTCGAAAATTATGATGTAAGTATAATCAGACTAGATAAGTGATAAGCTAGTCTCAGTAACGAGTAATGTGAAGTTGCTAAAAAGTATGGATATCGATAAATTCAAAATGTCCTGTATATTTCTTTTTCAGGCTGAATCATCTACTTCCGTTCAAAGTAATCAGTACAAACAAATAACAAAACAACCAACACTCATGGATATATTGGAAAGAAGTTCAAGCTATGAAGGTAATTTTTTAATTTATGTCACTCTAGTCTGATATTTTTTATGGCTCTTTATTCTCTACCTCTCATTTAAATTTGTTCTTATTTGTTTTCACAGCAGGGGGTCAAAAAACAAATGAAATAAATCAAGCATTTATTTACATGATTTGTAAAGACAACATGCCTTTTTCTTGCGTAGAAAAACCTGGATTGCAAAAATTCACAAGAGTTATTTGTCCACGTTACAAGCTTCCCTCACGCGCTAAGGTAATCTAATCGAACTAAAATATATATTATATTTATGTTTTATTTGGTCTATTTTTATAATATAATTTATTTTCATTATTCATTGTAGGTAACCAGCTTAGTCGAACAGCGATATACTACTACAAAAGCTATCTTAAAAAATAAACTAAGAGAGACTGAAAATATAGCATTGACGAGTGATATATTAACACTAACCAACTCGACAAGGAGTTTCCTAGTTATGACAGCGCATTTTTTGAATGCCACAGAAGACTCTGTTCCAGAGCTAGAAACAGTGACACTGACAGCGCAGAGGATGTATCAAGTATGTAAATTGTATAAAAAATAATAAAAACAGTAACGCCACATCTACAAAACACTTGCGTGTTTAGCGCATGTTCCATTTTTTGTGGTGAAATTAATAATTTCTTTTTTTTACAGGCACACACAGCTGATTACATACAAGAATGTTTTGAAAATATTATCAAGGAGTTTTTAATAGAAAAGAAAAGTATCCATTCAATGACCACTGATGGTGGTAGTAATATGGTGTCTGCAGTGAAGAAATTCTTGGGAGACAACAAGAGAATCCCTTGTATGCCGCATTTGATCAATTTAATAGTAGATGCCGCTTTGTCGAAAGATAATGCACCTGTTCTGGAACTTGCTAATCAAGTCAAATCTATTGTGACGTATTTCAAACAATCTGTTAATGCTATGGACGAATTAAGAGCAGAGCAACAGAGTCTTCAAAAAAAGGAAGGGGAAGTGCTAACACTCATTCAGTCGGTCAGCACTCGATGGAATTCGTGCCTAGATATGCTAGAAAGATTCAATAAGCTGTCAGCTATAGTGGCTAAAATTTTATCTGGTAGGAGAAATGCCCCAGATATGCTAACATCGTCGCAGCTGAATGTCATACGAGAGCTGATAACACTGCTTGCTCCTTTTAAGCAGGCTACTGAAGACATTAGCGGTGATCATTATGTGAGTGCTAGTCTAGCAATACCAATTACAAATTTGCTGTCGCAAGGACTGGAACACGAAAAACCCTCAACAGTATTAGGTATTGCTGTAAAAACCAGTTTATTGCAAGGGGTTACTACAAGACTAAGGCCCTTGGAGGAAAATTTATACTTGGCAAAAGCTACGATTTTAGATCCGCGGTTTAAGCGTATGCACTTTAGTTCCGCACTTGCTGTTTCAAAAGCAATAAGTGAGTTATCCGATGAAATACGTGCAGAACACAGGCGACGAGGACAACTTTCCCCTGATCTGAATACTGCTACAATTGCTGAAACACAAAATTCCGTGACATCAGAATCAGAGTCATTATGGTCTCGACACGAAAAGCTACTAGTTGCTGCAGCCAGCAATAATGCAACTAATGTAGCCTCTCGAACTAATAGAATGCCAAACGAATTGAAGCAATACCTAGATGCTCCTAATATATCTCGAAAAGAAAACCCAATAAAGTTCTGGATAGATACAAGGCATTTTACCCCGGTTCTTTCTAATCTAGGACTTAAATATTTAACACCTACGGCTTCCTCTGTGCCGTCAGAGAGAGTGGCTTCTGCAGTTAATTTGGCGGTTCCTAATAATAGGAGCCGGCTGACAGCAGAGCATATAAAGAGTAGAGTTTTTCTCCTCTCTCTACCAGACAAATATTGGTTTGCCTGATTCATTAAGGACCGATTCCACCGTTGTGTTAAGCGAAGTTTAAAATGACATTTTTACATTAACAATGTTATTTTATTCTGCGTTCAACACAATGGTGGAATCGGCCCTAAATAAGTTTAAAATTATTAGAAGATTTTTAGTTTCTTATATTTTTGTAATTATTGTATAATAAAAAGGAATACTGATTAAAATACCTTCATTTTTATTGAGATTTTTGTACATTAAAATAATGTACATTTTGTATAAAAATTACTATTAATAATATTGAGCTGAATACACTATTATTTTAAAAAGGCAAAATCTTAAAATTTTTACCGATATATCGATACTTTTTCCCCGATATATCGACGTTGATATTGATATTTTTATAAATATCGATACATCGATATATCGATATTTTTTTTCATTTTCGACATCCCTAAAGGTCTGTCGACAGTAGGAGTCTTGCTAAGCATTAACCCGCGAGGTGGTTTTTGCTCAGGCTTGGTTTGGATACAAATTTGGCATTTACGAATATATCTACCTATATCATCACGCATTTTTGGCCAGTAATATTTAGCACAAATGCGAGCAGCTGTTTTAGCGAAACCCATATGACCAGCAGTGGGAGGGTCATGATTTTGTGCGATTATATCGACTCGTTCATATTTCGGCACAACTAACAGCCAACCATCGTTAGTATCCTGAAGATCGGGATAGGCTAACTTTGCTCTTTTCCAGAGGTGGTCATTGTCGATTCTCCATAACGGATACTGAGCTGACTGATCTCGCACTCTAGTCAACATACTCTGATACCATTTGTCAGACTTGTCCGGAGACTGCTTTAACTCCAACGTTTCCACACACGGAACCGACCGGGACAAGGCGTCTGGAACTACGTGTTCCTTTCCTTTCCGATGAAGGATTTCAAAATCATATTGTTGGAGCCGAACAGCCCACCGAGCAATTCTACCAATAGGATCTTTAATATTATTTAACCATTTAAGGCTATAATGGTCTGTAATTACTTTAAATTTTGATCCCTCAATATATGGACGAAACTTTTCAATCGCGTACAAAACCGCCAAACACTCCTTCTCAGTGGTACTGTACTTCCTTTCAGAACTGGAGAGAGATCTACTCAAATAGCAAATAACCTTTTCACCCTCATCTCCAATCTGAGAAAGCACCGCACCAATGCCAAAATCAGAAGCATCCGTCTGTACTATAAAGGGTAGATCAAAATTTGGACTAGTAAGAATGGGAGCCGAAATAAGATGATCTTTGAGAGCCTGAAAAGCCTTTTCACATAAAGAATCCCAAATAAATTTCTGGTTTTTACGAAGCAAGTTACATAAGGGTGCTGTAAGAGTGGAGAAATCTGGTACAAATCTCCTGTACCATGAAGCTACACCTATTAGCCTACGAATATCTCCGACACACTTGGGGGTAGGAATCTGGATAATTGCTTCCACCTTTGCAGGATCTACCATAAGTCCCGCAGCACCAACTACGTAGCCCAAATAGCGCAATTCGGACTTACAAAAATGACATTTGTCACGGTTTAACGTTAAACCGGCCTTAGTAAGACGAGTTAACACCTCTTGCAAAATTTCGATGTGCATTTCAAAAGTTGGCGTGCAAATAATTACATCGTCAAGATATACAAACACATATTGTTCAAGGTCTACCCCTACTACACGGTCTATGAAGCGCTGCCACGTCGCTGGAGCATTGTGGAGACCCATTGGCATCCTACGAAACTGATACAGTCCTCGATTTGGGATGACAAATGCTGTTAGTGGTTTTGACGACTCTGACAGGGGAATTTGCCAGTAGGCTGATTTAATGTCTAGAGTCGACAAAAATCGGGCATTTCTTAGTTTGTCGAGCGTTGCGCTGACAAACGGTAACGGATAAGCATCCCTTTCCGTTACTTTATTTAATTGACGAAAGTCAACTACGAAACGGTATGTCCCATCTTTTTTCTTTAAAAGTAAAATCGGTGACGACCAGGGAGACTCAGAAGGTTCAATGACCCCATCCAGTAACATCTTTTCTAGCTCTTCGTTAACTTGTTGTTGGAGAATTTTTGATAAGGGATAATGCCTTTGGCGGATTGGTGGGTGGTTTGTACGAATAACATGCTCTAATAGAGTAGTGCAACCAAGTTTTGGTCCCATTTTTCGAAACGTAGTGTCGATTAAGTTATTTAAAATAGGACGCTGATTTTCTAAAAGATTATCCTCTGAGATGAGAGCTACCACAGGAGATATGATTTCAGTTCCATTCCTGAAACTCCATTCTCCAGAAAACATATCTGGCACGATCTCCATCTTCCTCCAGAAATCCATACCAAGAATTAAGGTATGCGAAAATCGAGGTACAACCAATACTTCAAGAGTCTTAACGCGACCACATAATTCGACGGCTACAGATATTTTTCCAACAACTGAACAAGTTTGTCCACTAGCCACAGTGCAATTCTCTCTAGCAGAAGGTTGTAACTGACAAATGGGTTTCAATATTTCCCAACCAGGTCCCCCAATAACAGTGCAGCTTGCGCCACTATCAAGTAGACCAATAAATGTGTAACCAAAGATCGATACATTAAGGTAAGGTCGAGTATCTTTCTTCGCATGCGCAAAGACATAATTTAAAAGAATAGATGTGTTACTTTGTGCCGTTTCGAATTCAGGATTACACAGCCGGCTTACTGAGATCCTTTCTTCCAGTGTTTTTGGCATCTAGGACATGAACCAGCAAAAACATTTTCAAGACCACACTTAAAACAAAAGCGTTTTCGTGGCTCAGTGCATGCTCGAAACTTATGTGCTGTGCTGAAACAATTCCAACAAGTCCCTTTAGGAGACGGTTGAGTCTGTTTACTAGCTGTGGAAATCGTGGAAGCAGCAACCTGAGTAGAACAGGGTTGGTTTCCAGTTTTCCTGTACGCCAACTCTGGTTCCAAGAGATTTCGATATGAAGTCGGTGGTGGAGTAAACGTTTGAATATGACATTGAATAGCTTCTATAGCGCGAGCTAAACGAAGCAAATCTGTAAGACTTGTAATAGATTGTAGAGACAATTGAGTCTGAATCTGAGGTAACAAGTTACGTTTTATTAAATTAACGCGAGTTTCTTCACGCGGGGGACAATCGAGTTTTCGAAAGAGATTTTCCATCACCGTTACAAATGTAATGACTTTTTCTTGAGCTCCCTGCGTTCGCCTTCGTATTTCATCCCAAAGATTATCCTCATAATCGTTTGGTCTGAAAGAATCTCGCAACTGGGCTAACAAATCATCCCACGAAGCAAATCGCCTGGTTCTATACCATAACAAGGCATCTTGAACCAACAGTTCTGGGGCAGAACGCAGTAGCTGTTCCTTGGGAACTCCTCTAGAAACTCTAATTTCTTCGATGCGTTCAATAAAATCCGTCACACTCGAACGTCCATTATATTTTACGTTCCAGCGAGACACATCAGCTCTATACGATGTAGCAGGAAAAGCATAATATTGTGTAGGTGGTGGTAGTGAAAAATTAATAGATGGTGGTAAATCATTAGCAGTGGCAATCACAGAATAATTATCCGGAATATTTCCAATCGAAACGTGTGGAATATTCGAGAGTTGAAAAGGAGAAGTTTTAGGACTTGACATTTTAAGAAGCTCTCTATTTTCATTTAAGGCTACATGGCCGAATATTTTGTTATATTCTTCGCCAGAATTATGTTGAGCATTAGGCTTGGATACACCAGACCGATTAGCTTGATGTCTAACTGATTCTAATGTTGGTTCATGAACATGTTCTTCATCTTTAAGCGAAATTAAATCTTGATTAGTTGGTTCATACATTGGTGGTAGAACTTCTGGAATCAGGGGTACTGGTTCATCCATAATAGATTTATTCATATCGAGTCGTTTAACTCTGTGAGAAATTTCTAATCCTTGATGGGTTAAGGTTACATCACCAATTAATGATGCACATTTATTAACTAAACGCAGCCGTTCTATCTCACGCTCCACGTTTTTACCCGATAATTTATTTAACCTACCAGAAAGATGTAAAAGTCTAGTCTGAATTCGACGATATTCATTTTCTTTATTCTTAAAATCAAATTCCGCAATATCCCTATCTAAATCTTTAAGTTTTGAAGCACAAATATTTATTTCATTATCGAAATCCAAAAATACGCTAGCATATGTCTTTTCAACACCGGATTCTGCTTTTTCTTTTTCCTCTCTCAGAAGCTCTCTAAAAGCAGATCGTTTCTCAGCTACTGTGCCAGTAATTGAGTAATTTCTAACGTAAAGCTCATAGGTTAGTTCGTCGCCAAGAAGTCTATTTATGTCCATTTTAATAGGCATGCCCAATAAATTCTCTTACAGCTATAGAACTCGTAAATAAATTAATTTGCTTTATTAGCCACTATGGCATACCGTGCAAAATCACATGTGACGGTGGTACAGAATTTAAAAAGCACGTCATACAAGACTTTTGTTTACTCTACCAGATAAATATACATTAAACTACAGTCTGTAACCCAAATAGTAATAGTCCAATAGAAAGATTTCATTCGACCCTTATTGAATCACTATTTTAAGATAAGAAAAGCGTAACATGATATTATCACATTTAATAAATTATTATATCGTATAATAATAGTAGACACAGTGCGAGAAATTATACGGCCTTTCAAATTTTACGTGGTAAATTAGATTATTAAAACCCCTTTGAAAAGAATGAAAACGAACGGATTACTAACTATATAACTACATTTTAACAGACAGTATTAACAACAAAGTGACAAAGAAACAAAAAGACATTTAGAAAGAATAGACAGATTTCAAAAAGTCGAAATCAATTTATAGTTAGAAAACCACTTATAAAAAAACTACCTGACTCACGAGAAAATAAAGCCACACAACACTACGAAAAAGTAAATACGACAGAATTTTCCACATAAAAACATTAAAACCTCAACGTCTTGTTAGAGACAACAAAGATGAAACGTCTGTCGATAGCCTTGATAATATATCTATTGCCAAAAGAATCAGCACCATTGG